GGCACTGACGTCACATCTTATGAAGACTCTAGAGCGGCTCTTCCTCAACCTCCTCCAACCACAGGTACAACATGCCCAGGACCCACTACAGTTTGCATACAAGGCGGGTGTCGGAGTGGAGGATGCCATCCTGTACCTCCTACACAGAGCCCACTCACACCTGGATGAGGGAAAAGGCACGGTCAGGATCCTGTTTCTTGACTTTTCCAGTGCCTTAAATACCATCCGGCCCTGTATGCTTCAGGAAAAACTGAACAGGATGGAGGTGGACCCCTGCCTGGTGGCTTGGATCTCCGACTACCTCACCGACAGACCACAGTACGTCAGGCTGAAGGACATCACGTCTGACACAGTGGTCAGCAGCACAGGAGCACCACAGGGAACTGTGCTGTCCCCTCTTCTCTTCACCCTGTACACCTCTGACTTCTGCTACAACTCTGAATTATGCCACATTCAGAAGTTTGCAGATGACACGGCCATCATGGGGTGTATCTGGGATGATCAGGAAGAGGAGTACAGAAGTCTGGTGAGGAACTTTGTCGCATGGAGTCACACAAACCACCTGCAACTCAACACCTCAAAGACTAAGGAACTGGTTGTGGACTTCGGGAGGTCTAGAGCAGGTCCACTGCCGGTTCAGATAGAGGGGGAGGAGGTGGAGGTGGTCAACAAGTACAAGTACCTCGGGCTGTGGGTGGACAATAAACTGGACTGGTCATGCAACACAGAGCACCTGTATAAAAAAGCCCAAAGCCGACTGTACTTCCTCAGGAGGCTGAGGTCTTTTAACATCTGCAGGAAGCTCCCGAGGATGTTTTACCAGTCGGTGGTTGCTGGAGTACTTTTCTATGCTGTGGTGTGCTGGGGGAGCAGCACAGCAAAGAAGGACTCATCCAGGCTGGAGAAACTGATCAGGAGGGCTAGCTCTGTGGTCGGCATGAAGCTGGACACTCTGGTGACAGTGGCAGAGAAAAGGACACTAAAGAAACTGATGGACATTATGGACAATGCTGGCATCCTCTGCACATGGCCATTAACAACCAGAAGAGTCTGTTCAGTGACAGGTTGCTTCTCCCAAAGACAAGAACTAACAGACTTAAAAACTCCTTTGTCCCACACGCCATCAGACTGTTTAACTCCTCTCTGGAGGGGAGAGGGAGGGGAGACAGGAGGACAAAGGAGGGGGGAACAACTAAGCTGTAGTGCCTCTTCACACCTCACTGTGCAATACCTTTTGTGCAATACTTTTGTAAATAGTCAACGGTGCAATAGACTCAATACTTGAAATGTGCAATTCACTTGTATTTTTATTTTTATTCCTATTTATTCTATTTATCCCCTTCGTATATTTTATTTATATTGTCTCTGTATTTATATATATGTGTGTGTGTGTATAACTCTGTAACTTCTGTCGGTGCTGTGCTTTTTTGGAAATCGAATTTCCCAGAGGAACCCACCCGAGGGATTAATAAAGTTCTATCTAATCTAATCTAATCTAATCTGATTTGTTTTTGTTTTGTTTTTGAATGTCAGAAATGTATATTTGTGAATGTGGAGATGTTATATTGGTTTCACTGGTAAAAATAAGTAATTGAAATGGGTATATTTTTTTTTGTTAAGTTGCCTAATAATTATGCACAGTAATAGTCACCTGCACACACAGATATCCCCCTAAAATAGCTAAAACTACAAACAAACTAAAAACTACTTCCAAAAACATTCAGCTTTGATATTAATGAGTTTTTTGGGTTCATTGAGAACATGGTTGTTGTTCAATAATAAAATTATTCCTCAAAGATACAACTTGCCTAATAATTCTGCACTCCCTGTAGATGCAAAAAAGACACAAACACAAAGCGAAGGACCAACCGAAGCATCAGAATCAGTGAGCTGTCGGCTTTCAGCCCCAACGGCGTGTCCGTTGGGTGAGAAAGCCAAGAAAGAGAAAGCTGATTCTGATGCTTCGGGTCCGGTCTATGTTTACCTCTTTGTGTGGAATCTGTTTACCTGCTCTCATTTGCTGTTTGGTGTTTGCTGAGATTCTGGCATTTCTGGCAAAATACATTTATATATTTAAAAGTCGATTCAGGATTTCATGAATCGATATCACTTTATTCAAGCTACTCACCTCCCTCTTCCACCTGCACTTTCAAACGTACACACAAAGGACTATGGGACAAGTACAGGAGCACGGCCAATCATAGAGGTGCTGCCCCTGACTATCTCTGATTGGGACACACGATAGGGGCATGATTTGTGTCACTTGTTGACCACACAGAGACTTTCAGAGTTTTTTTTTTCTTCTCTTTCCTTTCATCACAGGCAGCACTGCCATCAAGCTCACTGCCTGTCAATTTGTGCATTTGCATTATTTCCATCGTGTGGCTGCAGTTGGCTATTGTTGCTGAAAGTTGTGCTTATTTTAGTCTCATCGAAAAGTGTAGTTGTCTCTGTCAGAGAGTGCCTGTGTCCTGTTAACAATAAGTGGAGCTGGGAAAGCTGAGAGGCTAACAGCTTTTTATCTGGTGCTTTGTATATGCACATTGTGGATAAGCCGATGGTCTGTGACTAAACTGTAAATGGATGGGAGAATTAATGTTTCAATGAGATTCAATCATTTACTTCAGTCAATATCATGAGCATGAAAAAGAAGGTTTTTTTTTAAATAGCCCAATTTTCTGTTGCCTACATTGTAGAGCGTGGCTTTGCTTCCAGACCTCAACAGGAACATTAGCACACTCGGGGATTAAAATGTGATTCAGCCAATGGAGGAACCATACAATCTTAGTGGCTCTAGGGAAAACTGACAATAATTTCTATTGAGAGCTCCAGTAGATTTTCTTAGTGTACAGGCTGTGATCAGCAGACCTGCTGCTGCAGCTACTCTGAAGTTTACTGCTCTTTGTGAACTTACACAACTAAATTCAATAAACTCATCATGTTACCGTGAGCCAAACTGTTTATTTAATTAATTTAGTATGATTTATTTAGCACCAAATTACAAAACAGTAATTACCATGAGGTGCTTTATATTGTAAGGCAGAGACCTTAAAACAATTCACTGCACTAGACTACGAAGTGTTAATATACATCAGGTTTTTTTTGCAGGATGTTTCACAAAATGAAAAATCATAAATTCACATCATGTGCAGATTTAATATCTGATTTAAAAAATGAGAAACTACATGCATACATTTAATTAGCAATTTATCAAATGCCTCTGAACACTGCTCTTCTTCTTCTCCTGTCCTGTCTTTCTTACATCTTTCTCCATCTCTGATTGAAGTCAGCTCTCACTCTTTTCTGTCTCTGAACAGAAGCTGGATTTTTAGCTACTGTGGCAAATACGGTGTGAAACAAGCTGCACATAAACATTGTGTTTACTGATATTTGTTGAGCTGATACAAATGTAGCATTTGAAATTATGTGCCCCTTATGGCCTGCATGGTAAATGGCCTGCATTTGTATAGCGCTTTTGTAGTCCCTAAGGACCCCAAAGCGCTTCACACTACATTCAGTCATTCACCCATTCACACACTTCTCCCTTATAAAGTATTACTCACCTTATGCTCGCTCGTCTTCTGTAGGGATAGCTAGATACTTAAGTATCGCGGCCAGAACATCTGAACATCTGCATTCCCACCAATGTTGTGGCACTCCAGACTATGGTGCCTGAATCCCCTCAGTGAGATCATTAACAAGACTGGCTACGGATACCGACTACGGAATGGAGCAGTTGTCAGCCACCTCCTCTACATGGATGACATCAAGCTGTATGCCAAGAATGAACGAGGATATCCTTCATAAAGATAGCTATAACTTTTGATAGAAGATCAGATACACGTGTATATATGGCTTTATCTTATAGAATTCAATATCCCCTGTTGATACAGACGGACATAATGGTGGTGGCTAAGCAACTGGACATAATGATGGTAGACAAACAGAAGAAGACGGCCGTAGTGATAGATGTAGCGGTTCCCAATGACACCAACATCAGAAAGAAGGAACACGAGAAGCTTGAGAAATACCAAGGGCTCAGAGAAGAGCTCGAGAAAATGTGGAGGGTGAAGGAAACAGAGCCTTCACTAGGAACTCAGCAACATTAGAGGCCAACTAAGGATCTAACTAACAAGGAGATGCTCTGTCCACACTGCTGTTCTGCATAGGCCTGAACCCTCTCAGTGAGATCATTGACAAGACTGGCTACCGACACTGACTACGGAAGGGAGCAGTTGTCAGCCACCTCCTTAACATGGTTGAAGCTCGATGCTGAGAGTGAACAAGACATTGATTCACTGTTCCACACCACCAGGATATACAGCAATGTTATTTGGAGTGGAGAAGTGCAGTCGGATGGTAACAAAGAGAGGGAAGGTAGTTAGTGCGATCCTCTCAGTTCTATCTGAAGGCAACATTGCAAACCACCGCAGAACCACTATCCAGGATGAAACAATGAACATCAATGAGTACATCAGGAAGATCGTCACAACCAACTGTGTGCTTAGTGAACACCTCAGGCAGGAGAAATCCCAAAAAGAAGAGGAGCAAGAGGAAGAACCATGCAAGGACAGGTCCCTGCACAGTATGTACCACCAACAGATAGAGTAAGTGGCTGGCATCCAGAAATCCTACCAGTGGATAAAGTTGGACTAAAAGACAGCACAGAGGCAGCACAGGAGCAAGCTCTAAGATCCAGAGAGGCTGTGGTCTACCACACCAGGCAAAGCAGACAGGCTGTGTAAAGATGCCCCTGAGACAATCCTTCACATTGCACCAGCGTGCGAGATGCTAGCGCACAGGACATACATGGAACGTCATAACTAAGTGGCCAAAATTGTATATAAATCTAAATATATATTTCATGGCAGCTTTGGGTGTCTGTACACCTACAACATGTGAACTGCTGCTATACCTCCTGAGCCACAGCACCATAAATTAACATGGTTTCACTAGTTTTCTGTCTCACAAACTAATGTCAGTTTTTTCTTTTTCCACAGATGCAGATCTACATGTATAACTCAGATGACTTTGAAAGTCTCACTGCAGCACTCAGAGAGAAGAGAATCATTGCAGCCATGGCTGTTTTTTTCCAGGTAGGAAAAGGTTATGTTACTTACTCGAAAGATGAGGTAGATTTCAGTTGTGCATGTTCTTTCTTCTGGGTTGGGAATTTATCATTAATGTTTTACAGGAGAACTCACTGCAAAAAGAAAATTCTGTCAGTACAAGCTTTGTACTGACATATCAGAGGTTGTTGATACAATAACACAGTGCAGACATCTAGCAGACTGTCTAACATTATGTTACAAGGGACATCTAAGCCTTGTGAACTCATATTGCAACTCCAGCAACAAGATGCAGTGACCCAAAATGTCACGGTTCTGGGTCCGTTGGACCCAGTATTTTGAGTTTATTATATTTCGGTTTAATTCTGCTTCATGGATTGCTTTCTTATTCTCATAGTGACGATGATTATTATTTCTTGTTTCTGTTTATCCGTGCTTAAGGATTTGTTCTCAGTTATATCTCACGTTTAGTTCAGGTTCCATGTGTCATTCTTTGTCTGTCTCTCAATGTAAAGTCTGCATGCTTGTTTAGTAATTCATGTTTCCTGTTTTATTGTGAAAGTCTTTGTCTTATGTTAGTGTGTGCAGCTTGGTTCCCCCCGTCTCGTTAACCCTGATCTCTCCCAGCTGTGTCTCCCTCCTGTTGCCCATTTGCTGATTACCACCCTGTGTATATTAGCCCTGTGTTTTCCTGTGCTCAGTGTCGCGTCGTACCATCAGATTATGCCTGTGTGTTTCGGTTCTCCATATTCCATGGTCACTTCATGTTTTGTTTTCGTACCAGCAATAAAGCTGAGGTTTTTGAGTGTCAAGTTAGTGTCTGAGTCCTGCGTTTGGATCCTCCTCTCCGCCTGCCCTGACACAAAGTCTCCATTTCAACTTGTGTTGAAAGTGTGGACTTCAAACAATATACCAGCCATGTAAAACCACAGTTATGATTAAAAATACACGCAATGTTTCTGAAAACATATATGTTCCAGCCATATGTTCTGCACACTCGGGTAAAGAGAGGGGCTGAGCTGGGGGAGGCCACTGGACAGACCTGGTGCTCCTAAACGTACAGTGAGGATGTGCTGGGAATGTCTAGCAGAGGCCCCAGTCCGCCCCAGATCTTCAACGCACACCTTAGGCAGAGCTTCAACAGCATTCCAAGGGAGACTGGGGACATCTGAATGAGTCTGAATGGACCATGTTCAGCACCTCCATTGCCGAAGTTGATGCACTGAGCTGCGGCCGCAAGGTGGTTGTTGCCTGTCATGGTAGTAAACCCCCGAACCAAATGATGGACGCCAGAGGTGAAGGGAGCCACCACGCTGAAGAAGAGATTCTGGCAAACCTTCAGGCGACTCAGGAGGGGAAAGTGGTGCTCTACCTGTACTGTGTATAGTGCGGGTGGAGCACTGCTGACTTCAACTGAGAAAATTGTTGGGCGGTGGAAGGAATACTTCGAGGACCTCCTTAATCCCACTGACACGTCTTCCATAGAATGGTAAATGGTAAATGACCTGTATTTATATAGCGCCTTACTAGTCCCTAAGGACCCCAAAGCGCTTTACATATCCAGTCATCCACCCATTCACACACACATTCACACACTGGAATGTAGAAGAAGCAGAGTTGGATGACCCGCCAATTTCCAGGTGTGAGGTCACTGAGGCAGTTAATCAACTCCTTAGTGGCAGAGCCCCTGTGGTGGATGAGGTCCGCCCTGGATTCCTGAGGGCTCTGGATGTTGTAGGGCTGTCCTGGCTGACACGTCTCTACAATGTTGCATGGACATCAGGGGCGGTACCCCTGGACTGGCAGACCGGGGTGGTGGTCCCCATCTTTAAGAAGATGGACCGGAGGGTGTGTTCCAGGGGTATCACAGCCTCCCTGGGAAGGTCTATGCCAGAGTGCTGGAAAGGAGAGTCCGTCCATTAGTGGAATCTCAGATACAGGAGAAACAATGCAGTTTTCGCCCTTGTCACGGAACACTGGACCAGCTCTTTATCCTCTTCAGGATACATGAGGGTGGATTGGAGTTTGCCCAACCAGTCTACATGCGTTTTGTGGACTTGAAGAAGGCATTCGACCGTGTCCCTCGGAGTGTCCTGTGGGAGGTGTTGCGGGAGTATGGGGTGTCTGGCCCATTGCTACACCATTTGATCCCTATACAACCATTGCAAGAGCTTGGTTCGCATAGCCGGCAATAAATCAAACTCGTTCTTGGTGGGTGATGGGCTCTGCCAGGGTTGCCCTTTTGTCACTGATTCTGTTCATAATTTTTATGAACAGAATCTCTAGGCGAATTTCTAGGCAAAGCCAAGTGATGGAAGGCTTTCACTTGGGTGGTCTCAGAATGTCATCTCTGCTTTTCGAAGATGATGGTTCTGTTGGCTTCATCGGTTGATGGCCTCCAGGTCGCACTGGAATTAAGCGGCGGGAATGAGGATCAGCATCTCCAAATCTGAGGCCATGGTTCTCAGTCAGAAAAGGGTGGAGTATCCACTTCGAGTCAGGGATGAGTTCTTGACATTCTTCACGCACACCCTTGCATTATACATGCTTATCTTAGGCAGTAGTATCAGAAGGTACATAATACATTTTCACTGCTGCGCAGTGGATACCCAACTTTATCTATCCATCAAGCAAGACCTTTACACCTGCTGTTTATTTTATTGACACACATGAATTAGATAAACTGCATTTCAGATAAAACTGAGGTTACGTACGCGACCCTAAAAATCCTTTAAATATGGTGTGTTTTTTGGCCTTTTTACAGCTTTATTTCAAAGGGTACATTAAAGAGTGATAGGAAAGCAGGGGGAGAGAGAGAGGGAAAGCATCTCAGCCATGCGGCATATGGTCGCCTGCTCATCCCAGTGTGCTAAACCGTGTCCTTAAATATGGTGTTTAACTAGATGTGTACTCTAGATGGCATTACCTTGGCCTCAAGTAACATTGAAGGATATTCTGGTCAAAAAATGACTTGAAGATTCTTCAAGATTCTTCAAGTCATTGAAGAGAATAAAAATATATGTTTAATATGCAAACTGGTTTCTTGCATTTGAGCAATAGCTCCAAAATTAGAGACATCTTGTCTTGCGAAACTATTTCATGTGTTAATTACTTCTAGCCTGGACAACTAATTTTCAGCAAAAGCAATTGATACAAAATTGTAACCCTACTTACAGTTTTTAAGCAAGAATGACCAAACTCTCACTAGGCCAGTATCAGATAATCTAAGAGGTATAAACATCAATAATGAAGGACCACACCAGGATAAACAGTGGATAAAATTATATATTTGACACACCGCAGCTGCAAATAAATGTACTTAATACAATAAAATAAAATACAAAATATCTCCCCAAAAATAAATTAAAGTGGGGCCAGACCCAAGACACGCTGGAGAGATTATATCTCTCAGCTGGCCTGGGAATGCCTTGGTGTTCCCCCGGATAAGCTGGAGGAGGTGGCTGGGGAGAGGGAGGTCAGGGGCTTCTCTGCTTGGGCTGCTGCCCCCGCGCCCCTGCCCCCAGATAAGCGGAAGAAAATGGATGGATGGATGGCATACAGCTTTTCTCTGAGTCAAATGTTTGAATGAATGTCTGATAACTGATGGATCATCAGGGCCCATTCTATGTTTGTTTAACTGTTTGTCCTACCACACTCTGGTGAAGAAGGAACGTTTGAAGTCCTGCAGGTACCTGTTCCAACACACAATGGAAATGAAACTCTGGCTTCAATACAACCTCAGCAATCTTAACTACTCTTGGGTTGGCTCGCCATCCAGTTAACTGGAACTGTTCAATGGAGTTTTGCTTCAGACTGGGTTCGTCTGTCGAGTTATCCTTTTACCAGATAAAAAAAAACCTGACCAAAGAACAGGGTAAAATTCTAAAGAACCGACCACTGCAGCAGAGTCGCTTGCAAGTTCCAGCAATTCAGCTTCGGTAACATCAGTTTGCCAAGCACATGGCATTGTATGAGCATGAACGCAATGGCAACTGCGGAAAGTCATGTCAAGGTCAACAGCAAGGGTTGCTGGGAGCTCATTGCTGATTGCCCAAGTTACACAACAACAAATCATCTTATTTGTCCACATCTTCCTTTAACCCCAAAAAGCACATGACGAAATTGTTTACATCATGCACACCAAAAATTGCTTTCGACTGCTCTTTTTTTTTGCAGAAAACATGTTTTGCAGAAAGCCATACCTGTTGCCCGACCCGGTATGCGAGGGCCAGAACGCGGCGGTGTTCTCTTGTTCTGCTCGGCGGTCCTCAAAAGGGCAGTTCGGGTGGCACACAATACCTGTCGGCAGTGCCGCATGTGGTGCTTAACCAAAGGAACCGTCAATTCCCCTTCTGACACAGAGAGAAGCAGGGGCTGGTACCCCAGGGAGGCCGCAAATGGGGAAACTCCAGTGGCTGCCGACGTGCTAGCATTATGGGCATATTCAATCCAAGCCAGTTGATTGCTCCATGACGATTGGTTGGAAGAGACTACACAACGTAGCATCGCTTCGAGTTCTTGATTAGCTCGTTCCGTTTGCCCGTTAATTTGAGGGTGGAAGCCGGAAGATAAGCTGACCCCCAGTTCCTTACAAAACTCCTTCCATACCCGGGACGTGAACTGGGGACCCCGATCGGACACTATATCTTGGGGAACATCGTGGAGACGGAACACCTGCTGTGTCATAATCTTGGCAGCTTTCAGGGCTGAAAGGAGTTTAGGCAGAGCGATGAAATGAACAGCCTTAGAGAAGCGATCGATGATGGTCAGGATGACCGTGTTACCAGAGGGTGGGAGACCAGTGATGAAGTCCATTGTGATATGAGACCACGGGCGTCTGGGTACAGGCAATGGACGAAGGAGGCAGGAGGTGAACTGGGGGCCTTGTTACGGGCACAAACAGGGCAAGCCGCCACGTACTCCTGAGCGTCCTTCCCTGAAGTTGGCCACCAAAACAAATGTTGCAGAAAGGCAGTAGTGCGGTTTTTACCTGGGTGGCAGGCGAACTCGGCTGTATGGGCCCAGTG